CATTCTCTTCAAGATGGGTGGACTTCAACTCCCAGAATTCCCCAGCCATCATGAAGTTGAAGTCCATCCACGTTATGGTTGCCAACTTTGAAGAACATGATGCTACAGCTTTGGCAGCCTAGCAATTGCCCAAAGAGGTCAAATATAGACCTTGGTCAAGAAGGCCTCATTTTGTGCAGTAGATGTTCTTCAACCAGAGCAAATGAATTCTACGGTTCTTACTCTTCCAAGGAGAACTGCTGGCGTTCTTTCCTTAAGGTCATGCTTCAAAGAATGACTTCCACCGGGCCCCTTGGATAAATGGATGGATGGATGGATGGATGGGATGAGGATGGGATAATGGATAGACAATGGATGAATGGGATGATGAATAAAAGGATGGAGGGAAGTATGGATGGAATGAGGATGGGATGATGGATGGATGGATGAAATGACAGATGGAACAATGGATAGATGGAATGAGATTGGGATGGATAGACAATGGATGAATGGAATGATGGATAAAAGGATGGAGGGAAGTATGGATGGGATGGATGGATGGATGGATGGGATGATGGATGGATATAATAAATGGGACAGTGGATGGATGGGATGAGGATGGGATGGTGGATGGATGGGTGGATGATGGGTGGATGGTTGGATGGAAGGGATGATGAATGGATGGATGATGTACCATCAAATCATTTTCAATCCTAGTGATCATATAGACATAATTTATCCAGGGTGATTTGTCCCTAAACTGGTCCTGCAGGACTTCCATTGATGCACCCACTGTCACCATAATTGAGTTGATTCACTTTCTGCTAGTCATCCTCTTCTTCTCCTTCCTTTCATCTTTCCCAACACTGTTGAATTCTCAAGGAAATTGAGTCTTTGTATTGGTTGACTGATTGACTATCTGCCATTAACTTGGTGTCAAGGCTCAGTGTCCAGATAGGTAGATCTTCTCCAGGAAGATCTTTCCTTAACCTGGTCCTTCAAGTCTTCCAATGGTGCCTCCATCCCATTTACTCCTGGTTGTCCTCTTCTACTCTTTGCTTCCATCTTTCTTTGCACTATGGACTTTTCCAAGGAGCTGATTGTTTGCATTAATTGATAGACGATGTACCATCGAGTCACTATTACTCTTGGTGACCACACAGATCTACCTATTTCTAGAAGATCTGTTCCTCATCCTTCAAGTCATCCAAAAGTGCCCCTATCACCAGTGTAAACTGAGCGCACCTTCTCATTGTCCTCTTCTTCTCTTTCCTTCTACCCTTCCCACCATCATAAAGGTCTTCTCCAGAAAGCTGGCTCTTTGCACCAACTGAATGTTAGATGGATTATGTTGTCTTCAAGGGTGTTGACTCTGAGCAACCACCTAGATAGAATTTTTCCATGAGGACCTATTCCCAACTTGCTCCTTTAACTCTTCTAATGATGCCTCCATCACCACCATAACTGAGTCCATCTATCTTCTGCTGGTCCTCCTTTTCTTCTCTTTCCTCCCACCTTTCTAAGACGTGTCCAACTGCCCTACAAGGTTCCTCCAAATTGTACGTTTCCTAGAAGGGGGGGGCTTTGATGCACAGGGAGCGAAGTTGGTCAAATTGTGGAGGCCTTGCACACCCTTGTTTCAAAAGCTCTGCCTTCCCATCCCCTTCGGCCCACTCCTGGCCCACCCCCAGCCCTTCCAGAAGGCCCACCTCGAACATCTCAAGTCATGACCTGCTGCTTGTCATGGCTACACTTCTGGCGAACCACCCAGGCCGGCTAACAAATATGCCCCCAGCCCTCTCGGCTCTTATCTCCGTCAAAGAGCTTACATTTTTATATGGCATCTTAATAACCCATCACTTCCATTACAAGTACGTGCCTCTCATCCTCTTTCGCTCTTCTGCAAAGCCCGAGGCACCTTGCTTCAGCTCAGAAGGGTCAGGTCTCTTCCGAAGCATCCGGACAGGGGTGGGTGAGAAGCTGGAAGGCCTTTTGGAGATCCCCGGGGGCCTCGTCTCGTTTTCCTTCGTCCCTGCTCAAAGCCACAAGAAAGGCAGAGTCCTTTTAGAGATCTTTTGATGGGGCTACCAAGAAACCTGCTAAGGAACGGAGCCTCAGATGTATTGGATTGTCTGTCGTGCTTGAGCAGCTTTTCTCCACCTTGGCAACTTGAAAAGGGGTGGACTTCAAGCCCCAGAATTGCCCAGCCAGTGGGAAGAATTCCACGCATGATGGCTGGAGAATTTGGGAAATTGAAGTCCACATGTCTTCAACCTGCCAAGGTTGAGAAGGTTGCCTCTGAGAAAATCTTTTCCTTTCCTTTCCCCTTTCACTTCCCTTTCCTTTCCTCTTTCCTTTTCCTCTTCCTTCCTTTCTTTTTCCTCTTCCTTTCCTTTCCTTCCTTTCCCTTCCCTTTCATCCCCTCCCTCCCTTCTTCTATTCTTCCCTTCCATTCTTCCCTCCTTCCCCTCCTTCTTTCCTTCCTCTCGTTCCCTCCTTTCTTTCCCTCTTCTTTCTCCTTCCTTCCTTCCTTCCCCCTCCCCTTTTCCTTCCCTTCTCCCTCCCTCCCTTCTTTCCCTTTTTTGTTCTTTTTCCTTCCTTCCCTCCTTCTTTCCTTTTCCTTCCCTTTTCCTGCCTCCTTTCTTTCCTTTTTCTCTTTCCTTCCTTCTTTCCTCCTTCCCTCCCTCCCTCCCTCCCTCTCATTCTTTCCCTTTCACCTTTCTTTTTCTCTTTTGTCTTCTCTTTTCTCCCCTCTCCTCTCCTCCTATCTACCGTTCTGGCTGGGGAATTCTCAGTCCACACATATTTAGGCTGCAGGGAAACATCAGATTAATTAACGTGTGAATGGGCCTATTCAAGAGAACAACATGGTTTATTTAATACAAAATCAATTTAAAACAAAAACAAAACACACACACTTGATCAAACAAGTGACTGATCTGGCTCAGCGATAACCCACAATAGGTGGGTTACATTCACTAAGGTAAAAGTAGCTACCCGCATGACTGTTAAGCAACTAGGACATGTTACACAGATGGCATGCAGAGCCGTCGCCCCAGTCCTAGGCCTTCAGCTGGGTTTTATGAAACCTTTTTGCTTTAGGCCTCCGCCGCCGTGTGCAAAAAAAAAGGTTCAATCAATCAGTCAATTTCAACTTCTGGTGGGAAAAAAAAGATCTTGCAAAGTTGGAATTGATTGATTGAACTTTTTAGTCCCACCCAGTCTGCCGTTACCACTGCAGCCATGCCCACCCAATGGGTCACACCCACCTGGCACTCGACGATGCATAAGTGGGTTTTGGGTTACAGTTTGGGCATTCGGTCTGTAAAAGGTTCGCCATCGCTGAACTAGGATATGTGTAATTTCTCTCTTGGGACATGTTTCTGAAATGATACGGTTAACATTAAAATCCTAATTTCTGAAAGCTTCGGGATTTTGAAGAAGCTGCGGACGTGCAATCTTTAATGTAAACTTTTAAAATGGCCTGTTAAGGTAGCATACTGAGATTTTGGTTTATCTTTGTACAAGCCTGAAGGAAACAGCCAGCGGGCAAGTGTGAATTTAAAGATTTCATAAGACAGCATTTACAGTGTGGCTGATAACCCTGTCAGGTCAACAGGGAAATTTCCATTTGCTACCTGTATGGATCAGGTAGCAAACTCCTGTTTTATTTTATTTTGTATATTATATGATAATACATAATATCATGTGATATTACATGATATATTATTTTATTTTATTTTATTACACGTAGTCCCCTACTTAGGACCACAACTGAGCCCAACATTTGTGTTGCTAAGCGAGACAGTTGTTAAGTGAATTTTGCCCCATTTTACAACCTTTCTTGCCATAGTTGATAAGTGAATCACCATAGTCGTTAAGTGAATCTGGCTTCCCCATTGTCAGAAATTCACAAAAGGTGATCACGTGACCCCAGGACACTGCAACTGTCATAAGTACATGCCAGTTGCCAAGTGTCTGAATTTTGATCATGTGAGGATGCCGCAACGGTCGTAAGTGTGAACAATGGTCATAAGCCCCTTTTTTTCAGTGCAGTTGTAACTTCAAACAAATGGTTATAAATTGAGGATTACCTGTAACCCCAGCTAGAACAGGCAATAATTGACTGTTCAACACTCCTGGAAGTCAACATTGGCAGCTTTTAACAAGAGATTAGACAACCGTTTGTCTGAAATGGTATAACGTTTCCTGCCTAAGTAGGGGGTTGGACTAGATGACCTCCAAGGTCCCTTCCAACTTGGTTATTCTGTTACAGGTAGTTCTCGAAAAAAAGTGACTTATGACTAGTTTTCACATGACTATTGCATCGTCCCCATAGTCACATGAGCTCAAATTCAGACAGTTGGAAACTGACTTGTTCTTATGAGCGTTGCAGTGTCCCAGGGTCGTGTGATCCCCTTTCTGACAAGCAAAGTCAATGGGGAAGCCAGATTCACTTAACAACTGTGTTATTACAGTGGTTATCAACCTGTGGGTCGGGACCCCATTTGGGGTCAAACGACCATTTCACGGGGGTCGCCAAACAATGCAGTCCGCCATTTTTTCCCCCTTTTCCTTAGCTGTGCTCCTCCCTTTTATTCTGTTGGCTTTTGAAAGCCAATAGAATAGACTCTCTTGAATAGAGTCTAATTTTATTGGCTTTCAAAAGCCAATAGGAATTGTCCAGGCTGTCTCTGCCCTGCTGAGCCCGCCAAAAGTCCCATTCTACAAATGGTGCTGCACCAGTTGAGTAGTCCTCGACTTACGACCGGTTGGGGGGTCGCGGCATTAAAAAGGTTGAGAACTACTGTGTTATTAGCTTAACAACGGCAGTGATTCCCTTGACAAGATCATAAAATGGGGCAAAACCCACTGAACAAAATGTCTCACTTGGCATCAGAAATTTTGGGCTCAGTTGTGGTTGTTAAGTCGAGGACCGCCTTTACCCTGCCAGCAGTTTGAGGAGATGGTTGATTGCAACGTTTCCCCCAGCCTGAGCTGAGTCTTTTCTCTTTCCGCAGCCACCCGGGAGTCGGCCTTCGTCCACGCCATTGCCTCGGCCGGAGTGGCATTCGCCGTGACCCGCTCCTGCGCGGAAGGTTCTTCCACCATCTGCGGCTGCGACACCCGTCACAAAGGTCCCCCTGGAGAAGGGTGGAAGTGGGGTGGCTGCAGCGAGGATGTGGAATTCGGCAGCATGGTGTCGCGGGAGTTTGCGGACGCGCGAGAAAACCGGCCAGACGCTCGCTCGGCCATGAACAGGCACAACAACGAAGCGGGACGAACGGTAAGGACTGTGGTCCTCTTGTTTATGTTCCCTTAACGGGGTCCACGTCAAATGACAAAGTTTCTTTCAGATTGAGGTTGACGTACACACATGTTCACACCGTGGCAGGGACACACACAAACAATCTATCCACTTCTAGTACAGGTAGTCCTCGACTTACAATCACAATCCGGACCTAAATTTCAGCTGCTAAGCAAGGCAGTTGTTGACCCTGGGACACTGCAACCGTCATAAGTATGAGTCAGTTGCCAAGCATCTGAATTTTGATCACGTGACTATGGGGATGCTGCAAAAGTCCTAAGTCACTTTTTTCAGGGCCGTTGGAACTTCAAACGGTCACTAAACAAATGCTTGTAAGTTGAGGACTTCCTGTACAAATATTATAGTCAATTAATCTTCTCCTTCTTTGTCCCCTCCTTCCTTCCTTTCTTTTCTTTTCTTTCTTTTCTTTTCCTTTCTTCTTTCTTTCTTTTTCTTTCTTCTTTCTTTCTCTCTCTCTTTCTCTCTCTCTTTCTTTCTTTCTTTCTTTCTTTCTTTCTTTCTTTCTCTCTTTCTCTCTTTTTCAGTCCATCATAGACCACATGCATCTCAAATGCAAGTGCCACGGGCTGTCCGGCAGCTGTGAGGTCAAGACCTGTTGGTGGTCTCAACCAGACTTCCGGGTCATCGGCGACTACCTCAAAGATAAGTACGACAGCGCTTCTGAGATGGTGGTGGAGAAACACCGAGAATCCCGTGGCTGGGTTGAAACCCTGCGCCCCAAATATAATTTCTTCAAAGCACCCACAGAGCGAGACCTGGTCTACTATGAAAACTCCCCAAATTTTTGTGAGCCCAACCCTGAAACTGGTTCATTTGGCACCCGCGACCGAGTCTGCAACATCAGCTCTCACGGCATCGACGGTTGTGACCTGCTGTGTTGCGGCCGCGGACACAACACACGGACCGAGAAGAGGAAGGAGAAATGTCATTGTATCTTCCACTGGTGTTGCTACGTCAGCTGCCAGGAATGTGTACGGATCTACGATGTTCACACATGCAAGTAAAAAGGGATAACCTGCTCCATCATGGGAGATGAATCGGAAGGAATATTTTTTTTTAGTTGGGGGAAAAAACGATTTCTTGAGAGTGAATGAAGACAAACGGAGAGAGAGGGAGCAAGAAGATAAAATGGGTGGACTAGGATAGATCTAATGTCTTCTGGGCCATCCCACCTGGAAATTAACTTTGCAACACCATGGACAAGAGAAACCAACAAATGGGGGTCGTTCATTCTCACTATCGTTCTACGGAGAGGAGATGGTGATTTCTTTAACTAGACATAGAATTGGGTTGTAGTTGTCTTCTGGGGTGTCATCTCTTCCTTCTTTGAAACCACAAGCCACCGGATCTATAGGTGAATTCTGAACTCGGAAGACGATTCTACGCGAGGATCCGCCTGTTACAGCACCAACCTTAAACCAGGATTTTAACTGTTGTATAGGATTGAAAACGGTCCACATGTGACAGTTTATCAAAGATCTCCCATAAATTCTTGAGGGAATTAAAAGGATCTGAAGAGGACCCGTTGCTCTGTGGATGGGCCCTGTGTGTTGTCTTCTGAACTGGATAATAACGGTGTCTCATACCACTAAGGGAAGTGATGCTTTGAGAAGACAATCATGCTCATACAGCATGTCAGACAAAAGACACACACATCTACACAGACACAGGCTGTGGTTCAAGTATGTGTAGAACTCTCTCGCGCGGCCTGGAATTGGTTTTGAGGACATTTGGTGTTTCTTGTTCAGGCTCGTAGACTGCACTCAATGCGGATCCAATAAATGGTTCTCTTGTGTTTGATGCCTTATTGTATGGTTGGTTAATCAACAAATATTGTATTGCCACGATAGAGAGAAGGAGAAAACGGGGTACTTCTCTCTGAATAGTCTTCATCTTTATTTGAGCCATGCAAGACATGAAATAAAATGTTGAATTCATGATTATCATTATGACTCGGTGGTTTTCGAGGTCAAACGTCCGCCTCTTATGCGCCAGTTGTCCCGCGTCAAAATGCTTCTTCCACATGCTTACACCTGGGGTACAGTTAGTCCTAACGACCGCAGTTGAACCCAAAATTTCCGTTGCTAAGTAAGACAGTTAAGTGAGTTGTGCCTCCTTTTATGAAATTTCTTGCCCCTGTTGTTAAATCAGTCACGCAGTTGTTAAATTAGAAATACAGTTGTTGCTTCCCCACTGACGCTCCTTGTGAGAAGTTTGCACAAAGGGATCATGTGACTCCGGGAAACCGTCATAAATATGAGCCAAACATCCAAATTTGGGTCACTTGCCTCTGTGGATGCTGCAACAGTTGTGTGAAAAAGGGTCATACGTCACTTTTTTTAGTGCCATTGTAATTTTGGACGGTCACTAAACAAATGGGTGTAAGTAGAGGACTACTTGTAGATATATCCTGGGAGATTCCAGAGCAGAGCTACCTAAATCTTTTCCTCTCTTCCCATCCAGTCCAGGACTGTGCAGGGTCTCCTCTAATTCCTGCTTCAGCTGCACAATTAATCACAACCTAGTAGTGTCCCCAGTTGCATCTAGAGACTGTCCAGCTTGGGAAAAAAGAAGGGATTTGTGAAGACCAACAGTTCCTCAAATATGTATTTTTATGACCATGCACAACAGATAAATATAGGTGACTTCAGGGCATAGAATTACAGAATAACAGGGAACAGGGAAGGGACCTTGGAGGTCTTCTAGTCCAACCCCCTGCTCAGGCAGGAGACCCTATAACACATTTCAGCCAGGTGGCTGTCCAGTCTCTTCTTAAAAAACTTCTAGTGTTGGAGCATTCACAACTTCTGGAGTTGAGCTGTTCCACTGGTTAATTGTTCTAATTCTCAGGAAATTCCTCCTTAGTTCCAGGTTGCTTCTCTCCTTGACTAGTTTCCATTCGTCGCTTCTTCTCCTGCCTTCAGGAGCTTTGAAGAATAAATTGACCCCCCCTCCCCTTTGTGGCAGTCCCTCAAATATGGGAAGAATGCTATCATCTCACCCCTCGTCCTTCTTATTGTTAAACCAGACATACCCAATTCCTGCAACGTTCTTCATATGTTTTAGCCTCCAGACTCTTAATCATCTTTGTTGCTCTTCTCTGTACTCTTTCCAGAGTCTCAGCATCCTTTTTATATCACAGGGACCAAAACTGGATGCTGTATTCCAAGTGTGGCCTTACCAAGGCGTTGTAAAGCGGTACTAACACTTCATGTGACCTTCATTCTGTGCCTCTGTCAATGCAGCCTAGGTAGGCTATGGATTCCACGGAATCCTATGGAGTCTTCCCAAGTGGGCTTAGAACAGTGGTTCTCCACCTGTGGGTCGGGACCCCATTTGGGGTCGAACGACCATTTCACGGGGGTCGCCAAACAACGCAGTCCACCATTTTTTCCCCCTTTTCCTTAGCTGTGCTACTCCCTTTTATTCTATTGGCTTTTGAAAGCCAATTGAATAGACTCTCTTGAATAGAGTCTAATTCTATTGGCTTTCAAAAGCCAATAGGAATTGTCCAGGCTGTCTCTGTCCTGCTGAGCCCGCCAAAAGTCCCATTCTGCAAATGGTGCTGCACCAGTTGAGTAATCCTTGACTTACGACCGGTTGAGTAGTCCTCGACTTACGACCGGTTGGGGGTCGCGACGTTAAAAAGGTTGAGAACCACTGGCTTAGAAACTGTTTCTGCAGAGACATCCATGGGATCCCACGTTTTTTAAGACAGAGCAACCCAAATGCAGAGCAACTCAAAATGCAGAGTTGCACATTCATTGTGCATATTCTGCACCTCTGTTAGAGCTCATGGTGTCACAATACACCAATGAAAGGAGGGAGCTTGCGTTGCAATGGTGGAATACCGATTTGGAGGCTCACCTAACCTTAGAAGTAGTGTTCCTCTATGGTTAAGCACAGTGGTGGGATTCAAATGGGTGAGCAACAGGTTCTCTGTGTGGATGACACTTCTGGAAATCCATTCTGGGCCTGGGCAACAAAAAATTAGCGACCGGTTCTGCTGAAGTGGTGCGAACCGGCTGAATCCCACCACTGGTTAAGCACCACCTTCTCCACAGATGCATTGACCCCAGGCAGTGGTCAACTAACCGCCAAACCAATAGTATAAATTGAATCCCAGAGGCCAGGTGACAAGATCACAACACCGACAGGAGAAAATATTTGTAACTCCAAGTTGAACTGTGGGGTCCTTGGTGACCTCAAAGCTGGGTAGTTTTTTTGCAGACATTTCATGAACTAACTAGGCAACATCATCAGTGTTAAAAGAGAGTGGAGCTTGTGAAGAGGAGGAGGAGGAGGAGGAGGAGGAGGAGGAGGAGGAGGAGGAGGAGGAGGAGGAGGAGGAGGAGGAGGAGGAGGACAAACAAGACTGGAGTCCTTGGTGCTCTCTGA